CATCTAATTGGAGAGAGTACTCCGACTCTTTCTTGTTTGCACCCTCAGATGTGTACTTCAAACTCTGAGTTGACACCACCCCCTTTTCTCCTGAAGACTCGACCGTCATGGTCGTTGTCTGGTTCGTCACAATTTTTCCTTTTTCGATCCACTTCGTCGATGGGTGTTGCCGCTTCAGGCCAGCGGGTCCCATGGGTTTCAGAGTCGAAGTTGAAGCTTATCTTACTACCTTCTTATTTCGTTGATATCGCCTCCACTGAGTCCTTGTCATGGGGTATTTCCTTTGTAGTTGGGAGAAACCCTGTAACCTCTAGGCTCAGCACCCTTGTCTGGGACTTTTACCCCCTTCTCCAAATCCAAAGCCTTCCACTTCAGACGTTTTCTCCCTTGCTGGCTTACTGGCGCCATCCACTTGTCTTGTGGGGTATTCGAGGATGGCACAAACGTTTTGCGGTGTGCCAGTTGAAACAATTTTCTGTACTCTTCGTTTCGTCGAGGTGCGTCGTCCTTGTCGAACACGAACCGAGAGACTTGTAGCTTACTATCTGGCTGTGCCACTTTTGTTGCTTCATACCTCTCAGCAGCCTTTTTGTCGAACACGGCGTTACACTTCGGCAAAACACAACCTTCGACTCGCTCACCCTGCATTTCTTATAGAAATCAGTCAGACTCTCGCCAGCTTGAGGGTAAACTGCCTCAAGCTTCTCTTCAGTCTTCTTGTCGGGACCATCAGTAGCCTCGACCATCATGCACTCAATTATTTCAGTCGTTTGGTTCTCATTGAGACCTTCAGTAGCCTCCACCATCATGTCGTCGTATAGCTCAGAATACAAAGCCTCTTCGACTATCAGAGGGTCTGTGTCCACTTGCATTTTGGGCCTTTCTCCGAATTGAAGTCGACCTTCCTTTAAAGCTTTCTGCACCAAATCCCTGAAAAGAACACATTGAGATGTCTTATGACCAAGGAAATTATGAAATTTGCATAATCCCTTTTTCTTCTTTTGTTCTATCGGGGGATCTTTTGCCCCAGGGGGAACAATAATCTAACCGTCTTTAACCAGCAAATCAAATATTTCATCACATTTAGATACATCAAAAGTATATGTTTTTGGGACATATTTGTCTGTTTTTTCCAGTTTCGACAGAATTTTTTCTATTTGACAGTTTTAGTGATTTGCATGTGTACGGGGATTCTGGCTTTAGTTCAGCCACGTTGACCGCGTTACTCTCGACAAGTTCCTTATCGGTAGATGAGTACTCGTCAGTTGCCACATATGAAACTTTCTCTTTCTTGCGATATTTGGTGGCCTGGGTTTTCTCACTTTTTAGATGATCGATTTGACAGGCTCTACCCGCTAGTTGAGCCATGTCCCTAAGATATTGCGTGTCTAATTTTTTCCTAATTGAATAGTCTAGGCCACCGACCGCTATTTCGACTAGTTCGTGTTCAGGGGCTTGCGTGAAACATCACGCTTTCAACAGTCTAAACCTGTTAAGATATTGGTCTACAGACTCTATAGTCTTTTGTTTGATGCTGGCTAACTCTTTCAAACTAATTTTTGAATGTCCCATGTAAAACTGTTCATGGAACAATCTTTCCAATTACGCCCAGGTCTGGACAGACTGTGGGGGTAAAGTGGTGAACCAAGTGAATACATTCTTGGTGAGAGAACTGGGGAAGTATTTTAATTTTAGATCTTCGTTATTTGCTATGTCGCCCGCTCCGGTTTGGTATCGAGCCACATGCTCAACAGTGGACTCCTCAGTCTCTCCAGCAAATTTGGTAAATTTTGACACTTTCCACCCTCTAGGCAATTCTATTTGTAGGATAAAGTCTGGTAGTGGGGACGTATATGTTGGCTGTCGAAGGCCTATATTCACCCCATTGCGAACCAAGATTCGTTCCACCATGGCTTCTAAGTTGGGTTAACCAGCTATGGCTTCGTGTCGAATCAGTCTGACCACGACGTTGGAATCTTGGTTTCTATGAACTAAAATAACGGGATGCCTTTGGGCCACCCTAGGTACGTGTTCAGCTTCGTGGGATTGTTGGTTAATTGTTTCGTCAAACACTTCGTCTTGGCGAACGGGCGTCTCTGGTCGAGGTGGAGGCGTATGTCGACCTGTGGTCCTAGGAGCATCCAAAAAATCACCTATCTGCGTCATCTGAGTCGCCAGTTGTTGGTAACTCTGAGTCGACTCGTGTATTAGTGGCCTTAATATGGTGCCTTTTTGCTGAGACAGCATGTGGACCATTTTGTGGTTACTTTCATCCATTTGTTGCCTTACGACGGCGACAAAACTTGTCGTAAAAGTTGGGAACGAGAGTGATGGAATACTAAAACCTGGAGGCCTCGTAACTTAGCTCATCTAAGGCCCTAATCCCTGATATGGGGAGAATGCTGACGAAGAGCCTTCCCCAAACAGTGGGCCACCGTGGTGCAAGCTCGACATAAACTCTGTCGGCATCCCAAAGGCCCCAGGGGCTGGCATTGTGAAATGAGGCATATATTGCCCCCCATCCCCTGTCACCATGGGCATGGGTTCAGGCCGACGCGGTGTCACGACGGGCTCGCTTTGAGCCATCGAGACCGCAAACACAATGTCAGTGTTGATCTCAGTCGTTTGAGTCACCGTCGTATTTCCTTCTGAAGACGGTTCTTCGTTTGGATGTGGCATCACCATCTTACCACTACGCAAATGCATACACCCAAACCCTTCGGGTCCCATCGGGCGTGCCAATTTGTTCGCACGCCGTATTCGCGCGAACAACCTCTGACCTCCTAACGCAGGTTTACTTGCGGAACCGGTCAAACGAGTCCCAGAACTGTTGGTTTGGGGTGTATGGAAAGAATGGTGGTATGGGGTCTATTTGAAATAGATTGAGAATTAGTTGTAAGTGAGACTGAATACTTAGAAAAGTATGCACAGGAATGAGCAATAACTTATGTAAAAAGATTGAAAGTAAAAACAACAAGACAAAAATATACTTGGAATTAACAACATAAATTGCTTATAAAAAAAAAGGTGAAGCAATCGTACATCTTGTAGGTGTGAAAAACTCTTTTCTCGTAACGTTTTGGTACTCAGAGTGATTGCTTATAATCTTACAAAAAAGCGCCTTTGTTACGAAAACACACATTCCTTTAAATAGAGAAAATAAATAACTGTCATATTGAATCTGATGATGCCACGTGTTTACCCACTACTTCTATAACTTCTCATGTCTTTGGATTTCAAATCTTTTTCCCGCTCAAACATACGTCCTTTTGTATGGCCTGTGACCGCTCGGGTCGACTGACGCCACCAGGTATCGACCTCACAATCTTCTGCCTGTCGATGTCGACCTACCTCTTGGACGAGCTATTGAGCCCGTCGACCAACTGTTATGTTACCACTTTTTTGATCGAAACTTCGATCAACACTACCAAAAAAGTTTGACATAAAAATTACCATCATTGTAAAAGCTCAAAATATCTTCATAATAAAAGTCGTTAAATTGATTAATTCTTTGGTCACCTTTGAGATGACCATTGATAACAAATCTATATATAAAAAAGTAAAGGTATAGCCTTCAAAGTTAACACTGTTAATCAAAAAGACTATGTAGCTAATGACTCTGATGATAATTTAACTAAAAATATTGATATACTAGCTAAGAATTTAAAAAAAATCATGAGAAAACATGATAGAAGATAAGAGAACAATATCACTGTAAATGTCAAAGACAATCAACAACAAAATTTAAAAGTTGTAAAGACAAGGATATATATATATATATATATATATATATATATATATATATATATATATATATATATATATATATATATATATATATATATATATATATATATATATATATATATAATTTCTAAAATCCAAAAGCTAAAAACATAGTTTATTAACTAACAGATCCACCCATTAAAACAATAAAATTTAATGCACCCAAATTGAAAAAATCAACTCTGAACTCCGACGAATCAAACTTCTTATTGGACTTAGAGCATAATTATCGGTAGATGTAAATCATTTCTACACATATTTTAAAGTCATTATGTCAGAATTAAATGAATATTTGAGAAAAAAAACGTTCCTACATTTGCATACGCTTCTCACGTTTGAGAACGTTTCTTTTCTGTACTTTCCTATTTAATTAATATTAAAATATTATATTTCAAAGGTCAATAATTATATGGACATTTATTTTGGAAATTGGTGGGACCTATTTTAGAGTTTTTAATGAGTTATGGATATTTGAAATATATAATTGAGTTGTTTAAAAAATATAGAAATGTAATATAATATAAAAAGTTATGTGGGTTCCGTTTAAAGAACCAAAATGTAGTTGATGAATGTGGATGCTCTTAGATCCACTACTCGCCTCACTCTGCATACCCTTCAGCCACCCGCTTCACTTTGTGCCGCCGCGTGAGCTCCGTCACCAGCTTTATTATGCGCCTATGTCATCTTCCTTGACTTCTAGATTGATTTATATTTTATGGATTTTTTTAAACATGTTTTCTCCATATTTTTTAGATTTTTCAAATAATGAATGTATTAAAAAATTATTTAAAAATAGATTGTATTTTATAAAAAGTAGAGAAAATATTTATTTTTTATATTAATCAGAACCTTACTTGTCAAAGACTAATTAGTAAAATTTTCACCTTGAAGGTGCTGCCAACAGAGTTAGTAACGTGATTTGAGTTTGTTGATAAGGTTAGACGGTCTTTTTCATCTACAATCAACTAGTTTAATGACAGCTACCGACATAACTTCAAATACAACTAAAGTGCAGATCTTAATATTTCAAAACATAAATATTAAAAGTAACAATATACATACAAACTAATTTCATTTCATATTGAATTGGAGAAGAACAATATAGGATGTTTAATACTACTAAACTTTGAAACTGCCCTAAATATATAAATAAAAATTAACATTATTTTTTTAATTGAATATTCAATATAGCAACCAACCACCTGACTCTAAAACTAGACCTCTTTAACAGCACCAACAGTTTCATTGACTTTGCTAATTTCTTTCACACCACTTGATTTCTCTTCAACTTCAAAAGCAGAAACTGGAAAAGTCTTAAAGAGTCCAGCAGGAGTTTGAAAAGTGATTTTACCCGTTGGTGGATCATTAACATAAATATCACTTAGTGTGATCCAAATGAAAAGCTCTTTGGTTTTCACACCAGTCAGTTTCTTAATCTTACCTTTTTCAACGTGAGCTGTGACTTCAGTAGCATAAGAAACTAGTTTTCCAATCTTCTCAAACTTGTGTGTTATGCTATTCTTCTGTTTCAACCAGACGAAACCTGTTTCTTTGTTGTAACCAACTTCGATGATGTCTTTCAACGGTAAGAGACCATTAGGGAGAGCGATTTCTCGAAGAAGCTCTTTGGATTTCAGTTGACACATTTCATCTCCATGGTATACCTCTGATTTCGATTTGATTTCTTCTGTTACTAAAGACATTGTTTTGAGTTGTTATTGAAACAATGGTTATGACTGTTTGTTTTGTTGTGTGGTTTCAATAGGTTGAGGGTTCTTATATACATCTCATTTTGTGAAATTAACCTTTTAACTTCTATTAATTTCAACAAATGCCATTGCTTTTAATTAATGCAACATTTAATTCCTTATCCGTAGCCACCCTCTAAATTAGAAAAAAAGTTGAACATTAGGATGCCTTTAAATTTAAGAATTTATTGGGTAGGTATTTATTATCCAACCAATCAAACATACCATATTATTTTTTATTTTAAAATAATTCTTACTAAAAATAAAGGTATTATTTCAAAAATCCAAGAAAAAATAATACAACTCAATTTCAATTTCATAAACTCTCAAAATTATTCTTTTATTACAAATTATTTTACTACAAAAAAAATTATATATAACTAGAAGTTAAACTCCTCGCTAAAACAAAAAATTCATCACAAAACATCAATTTGCGAGGGGACGGAGTTCTTAGCTAATCAGGAAATCGTAAATTATTGGCTAGGGGATAAACCCCTCGTAAATTTGGCAAGGGGACAAGCCCCTCGCAAAATGTCATGGAAAAAATTCAGACTATTATGCTGCAGACATAGACACAGACTAAAGCCACAGAGGGACACATACGTGTCAGATAATTTGCGAGGGGGTAAACCCCTAGCCAACTTACCTGCTTTTTTAATTTAGTGAGGGATAAAACCCCTAGCTGTCTGTGTCGGAATTTTGCAAGGGGTAAAATCCCTAACAAATTGTCCTACGTTTTGGAATTTGTAAGGGATTTAATCCCTAGCTAATGATTATAATATTTTTTTATAATTTATAATTATATTATTTTAATTATATTGATATAATTAGAATAATAATATAATAAATTTTTATTAAATTTTATAATTATATTATTTTTTAGTAATAATTCATATTTTTATTATATTACTTTCTTAAGCCCATAAGTTTGTTAGAGGGTATTTTAGTATTTATCTTATTCTAGTAACCCTAGTTTTAGCTTATAAATAGGGTGACAATCATTGTAACCAAATATCATGTTTTTGTAGCCGTCATTCTTAATAGAATATTTCTTTTGTTCATCATTTATTCACCTTTGCACCAACAATTGGTATCTAGAGCTCTGGTTCAGATTCATTGGGAAACACGGGAAACACGAGTGAACGTGAGGTCTTGTGTGTTTGATTTTGTTTCTCAGATTCTTGTTGAATCTTGAACAAAATCTGATCATAATTTTTTTTAATTCTGTGGGTTGGGAAACACTGTGTGAGAAAACTCTGAGTGTATTGTGCAAAGTAGAAGATGAACGGAAACGGCAACATGAACACCAAACTTCCAGTATTTGACGGTAAAAATTGGAATCGTTAGATGATCCAAATGCGTGTACTGTTTGGTGCTCAAGATGTTCTGGATCTTCTCACTGATGGTTATGTTCCGGTAGCAGCAGATGCGACTGATGAACAGAAAAACGCGCAGAAGGAAGTAAGGAAGAAGGATCAGAAAGCATTGTTCTTCATTCATCAATGTGTGGATGTAAACGTGTTTGAGAAGATTGCAGACTCTACAACAGCAAAGGCTGCATGGGACACTCTGGTGAGATGTTATGGTGGTGACGCATCAGTGAAGAAGGTGAAGCTTCAGTCCTTGAGAAAGCAATATGAGAATCTCAACATGAAGAATAATGAGAAAGTTTCTGAATACATCTCCAGAGTGATTCTGATCACTAATGAGATGAAGGCATGTGGAGAAACTCTTTCTGAAGAAACAATCATGAAGAAAGTGTTGAGATCCCTTACTCCTCAATTTGATTACATTGTGGTAGCAATAGAACATTCCAAAGATCTGAGCACAATGAGAATTGAAGAGCTGCAGAGCAGTCTAGAAGCGCAAGAGTTGCGTCTGACTGAGAGAAACTCTGAAAAGGAAGTAGAACAGCAGGCTCTGAAAGCAACTTCTGATAGGAGGTATCAGAAGCAGTCAGAAGCCAGGAGAAGATCTGATGGTGGTCAGAAGTCAGAAAGCTCAACCTCTGATAGACAAAAGAATGCTCAGAGGGGAAAAGAGAAGTATGACAAAAGAAAAATACAATGTTACTGTTGTAAGAAGTTTGGCCATTTTGCTAGAGATTGTTGGTCAAACAAGGAGAAGAAATCAGAAGAAGCAAATATATCCAGAGGCTCTGATGACGAATCTGTGCTGTTGATGGCCTCTGAATCTGATAATGTGGATCTGACAGACTGGTGGTATATGGACACTGGCTGTTCAAATCATCTTACTGGAAACAAGAAATGGCTGGTTGACTTTGACTCTGAAAAGAGAACAAAGATCAGATGTGCTGATGACAAATATCTTAATGCAGAAGGTATGGGAAATGTCAGAGTGACTCTGAACAATGGAAAAATAGCATTGATTCAGAATGTGTGGTATGTACCTGGCATCAGAAGCAATCTGATGAGTGTGGGACAATTAATTGAGAAAGGTTTCTCAGTTACCATGAAGGACAATCTTCTGAAGCTGTATGACTGTAATCAGAAATTGATTATGGAGTCAGAACAGGGAAGGAATAGAACATTCAAGGTGAATGTCAGAACTGCAGACTCAGAGTGTCTTAGTGCAACAAGTACTGAGAAGGAGAGTGAGATGTGGCACAGAAGATTTGGTCATTTGAATTTCAGAAGCTTACAACATCTGAATTCAAAGAAATTGGTACATGGAATTCCTGCAATTAAGAAGCCTGAAAAGTCATGCAAAGTTTGCATGGAAGGAAAACAACCAAGATTGCCATTTGCATCAGAAGTTGCTCCAAGAGCAAAACATGCCTTGGGAGTTGTACACTCTTGTCGCTACTCGAAAAATGCATCGCGCAACGACGGGGAGGCGAAAAGAAAGGACAGAAGAGTCGCCACCGAACTTTATTTATCCCATGTGGGGAAAGGAAAATATCGAGAAAAACCTTAAGAAAATAATGGATAAGATGGTCTCGCGACCAAGAACAGGTTCGGAAGCCGGTTATGCGAGGGGAAGGTATTAGCACCCCTCGCATCCATCGTACTCGATGGGAACCTTTTGTTTGTCGATGTGTGAATTTATCTGCTTAAATATTATGCTATAAAAGAGTGTTTCACTGGGTAAAAGAAGGGTTTGAAACAAGAAAGTTAGGAGGAAAGAGAGAACGGGGAAGAAAAGAGAAAGAACAGACTCGGTAGGACTTCGCAGTCCTATGCCTACGTATTCTCAATAGATGTGAGGAAGTCAGAGTCGACGTAGTTCGGGAAACTACAGATATAGGGGGAATGTGCTCGGCAAGGATTGTGGCCCTTGTGCCTACGTATCTTTACTTGAGAAAGTAAAGAATCAGAGCAGCCGTAGTTCGGCCTACGGTGTGTTGATGTTTTTTTATGGATGATGCTATCGTGCGCATTCTAGCAGTTTAGGTGTTTTGCTGCTCGCTCGTTGGAGACTTAGGCATTACCTGTTTGCGGTAGAACGGACGTATCATATCCTTTTGAAAGATTGGTTAGTTTTCGCCACGCGGGGCTAGATGTCACATTTGATTGATAGGATTGTTTTTAGGGGGGCGAGACAAGTCCTCGGATAGTAACCCCTACGGGTAGTACCCAATTCGTTGTCTCAAAGTTTTTGTTATAAAAAGGTGTGGCGAACGAGGCGTCTTCGTATTGAAAGACGAGCGTCGAAACCACCCTCACTACAGTGGGCATCTCTACGCTCGGAGAAGAAGAGGTCTACACCTAATCCTCTCTCTTTAATTCAATGCAAAGAGAACTTCGTTCTCTTATTAAAGACGTTTTGGTCTTGAATGGTAAGTGCTTTGCGACAGAGAACCCTACGGTAAACGTCAGCACTCGGGATAGGAGAAGGCCTACGCCTAACCACTCCACGACCATTCAAGTTTTAATGTGAAAATGATTTGAAAATGCACTCGATGCGAGACCGAGGTTTTAGGTGATGAAGGTTACGGAAGGAAGTTGTGAAAGTGAGAAGTGGTGGATAGAGTCGCGTCTTCGTATTGAAAGACGAGTATCGAGACCACCCTCACTACAGTGGGCATCCCAACATTCGGAGAGGAAGAGGTCTACACCTAATCCTCTCTTTTTAATTCAATACAAAGAGAAATTGACTTATTATGGAAAGTATACTCAGCACGAAACCGAGGTTTTATGAGGAAACGTCTGAAGCGTCTTTGTGTTGAAAGACGAGTGTCGAAACCACCCTCACTACAGTGGGCATCCCAACACTCGAAGAGGAAGAGGTCTACACCCAATCCTCTCTCTTTAATTCAATAAAAAGAATTATTTGTTTATTGAAGGGGTTTGATAGCATCAGTGAATTGAATCGGGACAAGAAACAGGGAGAGAAAAGAGGTGGTCTCAGATCCAACATTACTTATCAATAATTTGACTGGTAATGAATTACGGAGGTTTCGTCATCGACCCAAAACGGCGAAAAATGTCCAATAACAAATGAGAAATAATATTCAACTTCTATAGTAAATATATATCATAATATTTATTTGTAAAGTTCTAAAAAAATATTAAAAGAAAATTAATATATACAACATTCTAAAAAAAAAACAAATATAAAATGCAAAACTGTTTGAAAAAAAAATATATTAGTAGACTGTTTTATAAATATAACCTAAAACTAAAATCTAAGAGGTATTTATGATAACTAAATTATATAAAAAAAGATTTATAACAAAAACATTGGAAAGAAAACAGGAGGGTGTATCTCAAAATGGGATGTACATACCAACTGTCACGATGGGCCTATGCCCAAATCATCATAAATAATAAAAAAACAAAATAAATTAACATAAAAATAAATAAATAAATGAAACAACTAAAAACTCAAAAGACATCCTCTTCCACACTGCAAACGAAACCAACTACCAAGATTAAGCGCAAAATCAAAACACCAGGTTCCTCAAAACACGTACGAAAATGGAGTTAAAGCTG